AGCCCCCTTTCTCCTTGACCATCTTTAATCTGGCACTTGGGTTCCCCAGATCTGGCCCTGAAGGTCACCCCCACTTCCTGGGGCTCTTTCTTCTGCTTCTCCCCACAGGTGGAAACTCTATCCTGGGCTGATTTCTTCACACTGTGCCCTCATCACAGGGCAGCACCCAGGACTCTGGCTTTATCATCACCAGAAATCTCTGGTCTCCAGGGGTCCACTTAGCCTTCTGCAAACTTTTGTCCGGGTTACCTTCCCTCTCTGGCCTCAAGCCTCACACTTTCTCAATGGGACCAGATCAGCGGCCTCTTGGCTGAGCTCTTTGTCTCTCGGGGAGGGCACCTCTGAACCGTCAGCCACCCCAAAGCCAGGCCATTGCTCAGCTTACAGCTCTGACCTCACCACTGCCCTGCCTGCAGCTCCTCATGAGCTTCTGTGCATGCGTGTGTATGTGCTAACTCAGTTGAGTCATGTCTGACTCTTTGTGACCCCAGGGACTGTAGCCTGCCAGGCTCCTCCTCCCATGGGATTTCCCAGGCAGGAATACTAGAGTGGGTTGACATGTCATGGGCTGCTGTAGTCTTTAACTTTGTTAAAGACTTTAACTTTAAAGTTAAAGTTAAAGTCTTTAACTTTGTTGTTCAGGTGCCAACATCAGTAAAGTGCTTTCAAGTGAGTGTCCCCCAGTGTATATTCACTCATCTAATAATTCCGGCCATCCTGTGGGAGTCAGCCTTCAAGATGACCCCTGAGTATTCTCACCCCCGGCATCCACACTCTTGGCGTGTTTCCCTTCTGCACTGAGGAACCATTAGGACATTGTGGAGATGATGGAGCATTACTTCTGAGGCTGGGCCATAGAAGAAATTGCAGCCTCCACCTTGTGCTCTCAGATCATTTGCTCTGGGGGCAGCCAGCTGCCATGTTGTGAGGGCGCTCAAGCAGTCCTGTGGAGGGGCTGCCTGCCAACAGTCAGCACTCACCTGCCAGTCCTGTGGGTCTCCTTGGAAGCTGGTCCTGCAGTCTCGGTCAAGTCTTCAAACAAACGAAGCATTGAATGACATCCGACTGCAACCTCATAAGAGACTCTGAGCTAGAACCAACTGGCTAAGCTGCACCTAGATTCCTGACCCCCAGAAACTGAGATGATAAATATTCCTTGTTTTAAATTGCTTTTTTTTTTTGAGGGATCATTTTACAGCAATAGATCAATAATACACATATACCACTGTACAAGTCTATTATGTACACTATAACGCATATCCCCAAGTAGACCTCTAAAGAAAAGAGATAAAAATATATATAAAGGTTCTTTTTTTTTTGACAGGACCATACAACTTTTGAGACCTTAGTCCTTCAACCAGGGATTGAATCCAGGCCCTCAGCAGTGAGAGCATGGAGTCCTAACCCCTGGGCCGGCAGGAAATTCCCTAAATGCTCTTGCCACTCGCTTAATGGGTGATCTTGTGACCCCCTTGGGGCGCGTGTCCTCCCAGTCAGGAGATCTCTGTGCTCCTGAATGGCATTCAGGCTACCTTCCCCTGAGATTCAAGGCTCTCCTCAGGGCGGCCCAAGCCACCCCTCTGGCCGTTTATCCCACTGAAGAGAAACTTGATTATTACAACTGATAAAATCCTTCCTGTTCTTTCAGACCAGCTTCACAGACCTCCACTAGGGAGCCTTTCTCGACCACCCTGGAGGTGGGATTCCCAGGTTTGGAGCCTAGGCTCTCTGAATTGCTCTCTGCATCCTGAGGGGAAGAGGACTCAGAGGGAACAGGTTCACTCTGCATAATGAGGCGGAGTTCTACAATCGGCTCCGACAATCCTGCTGTCCTCCCCAGCACCTGTGAGCATGCTGCCAGCGCTCTCTCAATCATTACGTTGTAGGTAGTGAAACTTACAGATAGCCATACATATCGTACAGGGGGCTGACCTGTAATTCAGCATCCAGTGTATTGTGTCCTTCATCTGGCTTTCTTCAAAGTGTTTTATCACCTCTGACTTCCCCCCGCTTTTTTTTTTCAATTAAAAAAAAATTTTTTTTTTTCGGCTGCACCTCACAGGATCTTAGTTCCCTGACCGAAATTGAACCTGCACCCCCTGCATTGGAAGCGTGGAGTCTTAACCATTGAACCACCAGGGAAGTCCCTTGGACTCCCATTCTTAAGCTTTTGTGTATGTTGTGTACACGGCTGACCTTAGGACAGGAAGATTCTCCAGGTGGGCCTAATCTAATCCCATGAGCACAGGGGGAATCAGAGAGATCTGGAGTTCTAGAAGCATACCAGGCACTGTTGCTAACTTTGCAGACGGGGTGCGCGGGGGGAGTGTCATGTGATGAGGAAGGCAGGTGGCCTCGAGGAACAGAGGGTGGCCCCCGACCACCAGTCAGCAAGGAGATGGGGACCTCAGTTCTACAGCTGCGAGGAAGTGGATTCTGTCAACAACTGGAATGTGTTTGAGAGTAGATTCTTCTCCTTTGCATCCAGAAATGAATATGGTCCTGCCAGCACCTCTATCTCAGCTTCATGAGACCCTGAGCTGGGAACTCAGCTGGGGTTCCTCTTGGACTTCTGCCCTACAGAGCTGTGAGCTAATAAATGGGTGTCATTTCAAGCCACTACGTTTGGGGTGCGATAGAAAATGAACACATGAGGCTCTGTCTCTGAAGACCTTGCAAAGTATATATTTTCGCTCTCTTTTTTTTGACTGTGCTACACAGCTTGTGGAATCTTCGTTCCCCAATCAGGGATCAAACCCTTGCCGCTGCAATGAAAGCACAGAGTCCTAACCACTGGACCACCAGAGAATTCCCAAGGTATATATTCTTAAAGGGATAGATGTAGAGTTCTCTCGGTGCATGTGTCTACCACCATGTGTCATGGTTTTGTTTCTAGCTATTTCTTGGTTTCTCAGGGTTATCTCTGGTCTCACAGAGAGAGCTGGCTTGTAAGTCAGCCACCGGGTGTATCATGTTGTTTATCTGGCTTTCCTCATGGTGTTTCATCACCTCTCTCACCCTAAAGTTGTTGACTTTGGGGTGTTTTTCATTACTGGTTCACGGACTGCTCCCTAAGCAATGGGTTTGGGAACATGGTTATAGCATAGAACTAGCTTATAAGAACATCTTATTCCAGTATAATATGCAAATAGAAGAATGCACAGATCTTCAGTGTATGGGTTTCGGCAGTTTTACAAACTTGCAGCCTTGCAGCCGGCGTCCAGATCAAGCAGTGGAACATTTCCATCACCCAGAAACTCCTTCCAATCCTCACTCCTGTAAGGGTAACCGGTATTCTGACCGAAACAGCGTAGGTTTGTTTGCCTGAATAAAGCAGATTGTAACTGATAATATCAGAGCAAGCGAAATCAACAGCCCAGTAGTCACCAAAATTACTGGCCACAGTCCCAGTACATGCAAACAATGTGAGGCTTTTCAAGACACAAACGAGGGTGCAGCCAGGGCTTCTTATTTTATGCGAGGGACGTGTTCTTGAATATCTGAATATTCAGACGTGTTCTGAATATCTCACATAATGTAAACTCTTCTAACTCGGGTCTAGTTTTCTCACTGAAGTAACCATAACATAGGATTCCCATGATGTCATATCTGGGGGCTAAAGCAAGACTTACTAATGTCATTAACATCGCCCAATTTCTTAAAAAATTTTTAATTAATTGATTATTTTATTTTTAGCTATGCTGGGTCTTAGTTGCTGTGTGGGCTTTTCTCTAGTTGCAGCGAGTGGGGCCTGGGCTTCCCATTACAGTGGCTTCTCTTGTGGAGCACAGGCTCTGGGGCTTGTGGGCTCTAGAGCACAGGCTCCGTAGTTGCAGTGCCTGGGCTTAGTTGGCATGTGGGATGTTCCTGGACAAGGGATCAAACCCGTGACTCCTGCATTGGTAGGAGGATTCTTTACCACTGAGCCACCAGAGAAGCCCAGTTTCTAATTTAGCATAATTCCAATCCACACACTCCCAGGATTTAGCCCTCCGTGAACTCTCCATGCGGCTGTGAGGGATCACTTTTAGTATCTCTGGGACCCCAGGGCCCAGCTGTGGTGACGGGATGGGACCCTGGTTCTGGGAGCAGCACACAGGTCCCGGGAGTCCGGTTGTTCACATTCCAGGCTTGCCTCTGCTGTTTGGACTCTGGGTAAACTCTTACCATTCAGGGCCTCAGTTTCCTCATTTCCGAATCAAATAGGGGTGTGCTCTGGGGCTAATGAGAGGAGGTAATGAGGGAAAGGGCTTCCCAGGTGGCTCAGTGGATAAAGAATCCACCTGCAATGCAGGAGACACAGGTTCAATCCCTGGGTTGAGAAGCTCCCCTGGAGGGGGGCATGACAACTCACTCCAGTATTCTGGCCTGGAGAATCCCATGGACAGAGGAGCCTGGCGGGCTATGGTCCATAGGGTCGCAAAGAGTCTGACATGACTGAGGTGACACATGCAACAAGGGAGAAGCACACAGAAGTCACTGGAGGTTTGCTGGCACCAATCCAGCTGAGTGGGTAAAAGCCTGCCTTCCTGCCACCCCCACCCCCTGCACCCCAGGCAGCTTGGAGGACTTTACTCCCCAGGAGAGCCATTCAGCCCCAGGCTGGGGTGTCTGGTAACTGAGCCCCAGGAAGCCAGGCCCAGGCTCAGATGCCAGGGTCATAGGCCTGGATTGGGCAAGAGTGGAGCTCGGGCCCTCTGATCCTGGTCAGAGATATTTGGAGAGATCAACAGTTCTGGGAAATTCAGAGACAGGAAGTGAAAGGGGAGTGGGGCAGAGGGGAACCAGCCAGCTGCACCCCAGCCCCTCCTGGTCTGGACCTCTCCCAAACAGTTCCTTGAGTGGGGTGGCTGCATGCAAGGATGGGGAACAGAACAAGGAGACTCTCCATCCCTGGGAAGGAGATGTGTGGCTCCCACCCCCACACCCACCCTGAGTTCCAAATCCATTTCTACCTCTGTTTACGTCCAAAGTCCCGGGCACTGGAGATGCCAGGTTTGGTGTGTTTGAACACACAGTCACACAGACAGGCAGACACACAGGGCTCAGGGCCTTTGAATGGACCCTGCCCCCTCCCCTCCCACCACCCAGAGCTGTCTGTGCTTTCTCCAGGCTTCAGCCTGTTTCTTAGCCTGGGATCTGCGCAGCATTGAGGGACCCACAAGTCAACCTTGAGACCTTTGGCAAGTAAAAGGGGAAGAAAGGGGGTTGGGGGGAAGAAAGGAGGTGGAGGAACTAGCTGTGGAGTGGGGTGGGGGAGGGGATGAATGGAGTCCACGTCCGGAGGGGTGGAGACAGAGTGGAAAAACTTCAGAAGATAGATTTTGGATGTCAGGCCTGGAGGGAACAGGAGCAAGAAGAAAGATCTCCACGCAGTCACTGATCACCTGGAAAGAGACCGAACCCCACACCCCAGCTCTTCAGCCCCTGCCTCAGCCCTAACCCCAGCCTTGACCTGGTCTCAGGCCCAGCCGGCCCTACCATGACAAAGGAGTATCAAGATCTTCAGCATCTGGACAACGAGGAGAATGACCATCAGCACAGAAAAAGTGAGGGGACACCTCCCCCCATTTCTGAAAGGCGAGCATTAGATGGCTGTCGCCCCCTCCCCTGACCCTGCCTCTCCCTGGGTCTGCCCGGCTCACAAGGTTGGTAGTGTCTGAGCCGCCCCTCTTAGGGGAGGTGCAGGGTGTAGGATTGGAGACCCTTTCTTGGTGGCAGTTGTCCCCAGGCTCCTTCATGACCCCCCTGCCCTTAGCCTTGTCACCAGCTTCTCAGGACCCTGGGGAGGGGGTTGCCCAGGGGATGTGGGAGTTAACTGCAAGAAGTTAGACCCTCTTCTTCGTTCCTCTTCCAACACCGGTGAGCCTTGGCCAAGTGTATGTGTGTGAGTGTGAGTATGTATGAGTGCACAGGTGTCAGGGATCCTTTGGGTCAAGGAGAAAATGTCTGTGGCAGGCCTCAGGGGAGCTCTGACTGGAGGAGGATGAGTCAAGCCCTCTTTCTTTCTCCTGCGAGTAGAGATGTTTCTGTTGGGGCTGAGCCAGGATGGAGTGCTTGACAGAAGGGAGTGGGCAGTGCCCTGCGGTTGGGGAATGAACTACCAGCAAAAACGGAGGGGAAGCCCCCGCATTTCAGCTCACTGAAACAGGGCTCCCGGGTGGGCACAACTTGGTCGACCTGAAGTCTGGTTACTCTGCCTCCCTGCGCCCAGACAAAGAGGAGTGGGATCCACGGGGAGAGCAAGAAACCCGTTTCTCTTGCCCCACCTGCAAGACCCCCTCGCCCCCCTCGCCTCCAGCTTGCAAACTCCATTCTCCAGGCTCTGCGTTCGGATGCGGCAGTGACTCGATCCGGCCACTAGGTGCCAGCAAAGGCCTAGAGCCTGGGTAGGGCTCCAGCAGAAAGATTCGCACCCCTTCCCACCTCTCGATGCATCCAGCTCCTCCCGGTCACCTACCGCCCAGATTTCTTCATCCATAGAGTTCCTTCTAGTCTCCTACAGGAGGCTCAGGTTGCCCTCCTCCTAGGACCCCAGAGCTGCCCCAGGCTCCCCTCTGTCCCTGAGTCCCTGACCTCTCTTGCAGGGCCGCCTCCTCCTCATTCATTCAGTCGGCGTCTCTGCACCGGACCCAGCCTCCTCCTGGTCTCCATGGGCCTTAGCCTCCTGCTGCTAGTGGTTCTCTGTGTGATCGGATCCCAGAGTGGGTTCCCCAGGGGGTAGGGGGTGTTTGGGAAGGAAGAGGGGGGGGATGTGAGTGCGCATGCGTACCGCGGTCTCTCAGACCAAACCAAGGGGCACTGTGGCTGAAGTATCTGCGATCTATGTTCACGCCCCAGCAGGCAGATGACAGAACCTTCCCAGCCCCCAGTGTTTCTCGTGACTTCCTTGCCTTCCCCTACCCTTATCCCCCTCCCCCTCTGCCCTCTGTCTCCCCAGATCACTCCAGCTTGCTGCTCCACGTGAAGCAGTTTGTGTCTGACCTCCGAAGCCTGAGCTGTCAGATGTCTGTCCTCCAGGGCAATGGTGAGGGGGTGGGGGTTGCTCAGTCCTGCTTGCCTGCCCAACCCACTTCCCCATAGCCCCTCACACCCGCTCTGCCTCCCGCCCCAGGCTCTGAAAAGGCCTGCTGCCCAGTGAACTGGATGGATTATGAAGGCAGCTGCTACTGGTTCTCTCGCTCCGGGAAGCCCTGGCCGGAGGCAGAGAAGTACTGCCAATTAGAGAACGCCCACCTAGTGGTGGTGGGCTCCTGGGAGGAGCAGGTGAGGTTCTGGTAGGGCCCGGCTGGGAGGTTGGCAGGTCTAAGGAGAGGTCACCAACCCCTCCTCTCTCCCCAGAAATTTATCCAGCACCACATGGGCCCTGTAAATACCTGGATAGGCCTCACGGATGAAAATGGGCCCTGGAAATGGGTGGACGGGACGGACTACGAGACAGGCTTCAAGTGAGTGTGTGCGTCCCCGAGGCTCTGCCCCTCCATCTATGGTCCATCTTCCCAGCCTGGCAGGTCCCAGGGGCTGGGGGGTCCACGGCTGGGCTCAGGGTCTCAGGCGCTGGGGTCCGCATCTCTTTGGTCTCTTTAGGAACTGGGCGCCAGAGCAGCCAGACGACTGGTACGGGCACGGGCTCGGAGGGGGTGAGGACTGTGCCCACTTCACGGAAGACGGCCGCTGGAATGATGACGTCTGCCCGAGGCCCTACCGCTGGGTCTGTGAGGCCCCACGGGACAGAGGCGATGACAGCTAAGAGCCTCCTCTCCCCTAATTTATTTCCTCAATGCCTTTACCTGACGTAGGGGTCCTGGTTTGGGGCCCTTCTATCTGGGGGCTTCTAGATTTTCATCTAAGATTTTAGAGGGAAGGGGGAAGGATGGTGTCTGAGGAATGTAGAATGATGTTTAGAGGGGTGAGGAGATTGAAACCCATGCTGCTTTCTATGGTTTGCAGGTTATTATTGTCAACTGGATTTTTTTAGAGTAAAAAGAAGAGAAATACACAAAACATTGAGTTGTCTGCTTGCTGGGGGTTAGGAATCGGGAGTGGGCTGGTCAGCACTAGGAAGTCTTGGGCAGGCAATGGGTCATCCTGAGAACTGTCTGCACTTTGGGCCAAGAGGCCTGGATTTGTTGTTTACAGGTATACAAGTTAGGGCAAGCTAGTCTGCTTTCTGTGTTTCAGCTGTAAAATAGCATTATTAATGGTTTGTTACTGAACTCAGGTTTGGTTGCTCACGTCTCAAGAATACAGTACTGAGAGATGAGTAAAAGGAACTATGGCTTTATTGTGGAAGTTGGCAATCTAGGGAAGAAGGTGACTCATATCCCAAAAAATCAACTCCTCCTTGCCAATCAAGGGGCAAGAGGTTTTAAAGGGGAGTTTCATGGGTACATAGGTGGGACAGAAGTTACGTGCATAACAACAGGGTTAGCTCTGACAATCATCTTGAAATTGGTCATGCAGTGGTCTTCTGGTCAGCGTCCTCTTTTTCATATATTTTAAACTTTATTTTGTATTGGGGTAGAGCCGATTAACACTTAACATTAACACTCAACATAACATAAACTCAACATTCAAAAAATGAAGATCATGGCATCTGGTCCTATCACTTCATGGCAAATAGATGGGGAAACAGTGGAAACAGAGAGACTTTATTTTCTTGGGCCCCAAAATCACTACAGATGGTGACTGCAGCAATGAAATTAAAAGACACTTGCTCCTTGGAAGAAAAGCTATGATAAACCTAGACAGCATATTAAAAAGCAGAGACATTACTTTGCTGACAAAGGTCTGTCTAGTCAAAGCTATGGTTTTTCTAGTAGTCTTATATGGATGTAAGAGTCAGACCATAAAGAAAGCTGAGTGCCGAAGAATTGATGCTTGTGAACTGTGGTATTGGAGAAGACTCTTGAGAGTCCCTTGGACTGCAAGGAGATCAAACTAGGCAATCCTAGAATATATCAGTCCTGAGTATTCTTTGGAAGGGCTGATGCTGAAGCTGAAACTCCAATACTTTGACCACCTGATGCAAAGAGCCGACTCATTGGAAAAGACCCTGATTCTGGGAAAGATTGAAGGCAGGAGGGGAAGCGGACGACAGAGGATGAGATGGTTGGATGGCATCCCTGACTCAATGGACATGAGTTTGAGCAAGCTCTGGAAGTTGGAGTGCTGGCATGCTGGAGTCCATGGCGTTGTAAAGAGTCAGACATGACTGAGTGACTGAACTAAACTGATAGCCGATTAACAATGTTGTGATAGTTTTGGGTGAACAGTGAAGGGACTCACACTTATCCATTCTCCCCCAAACTCCCCTCCCATCCAGGCTGCCACATAACATTGAGCAGAGTTCCCTGTGCTGTTCAGTAGGTCCTTGTTGGTTATCCATTTAAATTATAGCAGTGTGTACATGTCCATCCCAAACTCTGTAACGTCTTAAGTATAGTTAATCTTCAGTTCCAGAGCTGATTTGTTCCTACAGTTCTTGATCTGTGCGAGATGGAGCAGCTTATGTCATGGTTACAATCTGGATGCAGTCATCATGCAGTTAACTTTTTTCATTTGGTGGCAATTTTAGTATCTGCAAAACAACACAGGAATATGCATCAGAAACTGTTATCTATGTCCTTCAGGGAGGAACTAAAGATTCTGTGACTGTTGTTCTAATCGTTAACTTCTTGAGCTTGCTCTTTTGTGACTCAGGGGAGGCTTGGGAATCTACAGCTTTTTTTTTTTTTTAATAAACAAGAGACTGGGGATATAGAGGAGCTTTTGTATCTGGAGGTCCCTGCAGCGTCCTGCTCATTTCACTGGGACTATCTTACCTTCTGCAATGCCCACAGGAACAGAACCACCCCAGTGTGAACAAAAGCTGCATCCACAGATAGTTAACAGATGCAAAGATGAACCCACAACCCAGAATCATCAACATGGTAGGAAAATCAATAATACCATGGAAGAGAAAAGTCTAACAAATAGAACCTACAACCCAGATGGGAGTTAACAGGACAAACAGTTGAAGACTTTATGGACACTTATGAGTTTATCAATGGACAGCAAGCTCCAGGATATGGTAAAAGACAGGGAATCCTGGTGTGCTGCAGTTCATGGGGTCCCAAAGAGTCAGACATGATTGAGCAACTGAACAACAGCAACATGGGTTTATCAACCAATATAGACAAAGTGTTAGCCTACCAATAAGACCTCCACTAATTCTAAAAAGAAGCAATGCTCTGACCACAAAATAAATAAATAAATAAATGAAGTTAGATTTAAATATGAAAGTATAGCCAAAAAAGAGCTATCAACATATACATTTCTCACCATCTTTCTAGATAACTTTGAATTTAAGAAAAAATAAAAATGAAAGTCAAGCGGTTTAGAAGTAAACAAGGAGAACTCTGCATACTGAGATTGTGGTACGGTATAAAGCAATTCCCTAAAGGAGAAGTATATAGACTTAAGTGCATTTATTTTGAAAAAATAGGAAAGGTTGAATGGAAAGAAGCTTAATTTTTAACTCAAGATACTTGAAAAAGAATAACAAAATAGGTCTTCGCTGGTGGTTTGGTGGTAAAGAATCTTTCTGCCAATGCCCAGCAAGATCCCACGTGCCACAGAGCAACTAAGCCTGAGCACCACAGTTATGGAGTCTGTGCTCTGAAGTCTGGGAACCACAGCTACTACTGAAGCCTGTGTGTGACCCGAGCCCGTGCTCCACAACAAGAGAAGCCACTGCAATGAGAAGCCTGCATGCTGCAACTAGAGAAAAAGCCTGCACAGCAACCAAGGCCCAGCACAGCCAAAAATAAATAATTTTAAAAAGAACTTTAAAAAAAGAATGACACAACAAATTCCCCAAATAGAAAGAGCTTTTTTTTTTTTTTTTTTTTTTGGCAGGGGCAGGAGATAAACTTGTTTGTTTGTTTGTTTTTATAGAAACTTGTTTGTTTTTTTAAAGCAAAACTTAATGCACTAGAAAATAAAAATGTAGATATCCTCAATAAAAGAAAATCTGATACTTGAAAAAGGTACAAAACAAACAAATATGAAGGAGAATAAAGGAAACACAGATAAATAGTTTTATTTTTTAGCTTTTTTGGTTGTAGTGTAATTTCTTTGCAATATTGTGTTAGTTAGTGCTGTACAATGAGGTGAATCAGCTATATATCCCATGTGCTGCACCACAGGGCATATCGGATCTTAGTTCCCCAACCAGGGATCAAACCTGTACTCCCTGCATTGAAGTGCAGTCTTAACCACTGGACCACCAGGGAAATACTATTAGACTATATTGCAAAGCCATATTCATAAAGACAGTATGGTAATGATACAGAACAAATAGACCAATGGCATGGAATAGGGATCTAATGTATAGCATGGTGACCACAGTTAACAATACCATGCTGTATACTTGAAATTTGCTAAGAGAGTAAATCTTAAGTTTCCTAACCAGACACAGACACAGAATTGGTAGCCATGTGAAGTGATGGATGTGTTAGTTTGTGGGAATCATTTTCCAGTGTAGATGCATATTAAATCACCCTGTTGTACACCTTTAAAAAATTGCATTGTACAACTTAAATATATACAATTTTTGTCAGTCATACTTCAATAAAGCTTGAAAAAAACTTCTAAAGCATATCACACAGAGAAAAAAATCCACCACGTGACTACGTGTCCACACATGTAGTGTGGATGCAGAGATGCCTAAAATAAGCATTAAATGAAAAAACTAAAAATAAGAATGCTGGCTAGAACCCAAGAACACTGATAAAAATCAATAGTCTACACACACAGTAGCACTACATACATTTCAAGAATCCATACATTTTCAGGGACATGTCAACCCCATTCAAGTGGTTGCTTAAGGAAGGGAGGCGACTAGGACAGGACCAGGATAAGAGGAGGCATCATTGAGAGAAGGACCTTGAGTAGACCAGAGCTGAGAGCTGAGAGTGGGAGGAGCCCACACTTCACCTCTAGTCCATCTCTAGGAAAAATGTTCATGCACATCTCAGCCTCCACCCTGCCACGGTCCTTAAAGGGGAGATATAAGAAACAGGGGCTTCTTATCAGGGCTTCTGTCATAGTTCAGTTGGTAAAGAATCTGCCTGCAATGAAGGAGACCTTGATTTGATTCCTGGGCTGGGAAGATCCACTGGAGAAGGGATAGGCTACCCACTCCAGTATTCTCGGGTTTCCCTTGTGGCTCAGCTGGTAAAGAATCCACCTGCAATGCAGGAGGCCTGGGTTTGATCCCTGGGTTGGGAAGATCCCTTGGAGAAGGGAAAGGCTACCCACTCCAGTATTCTGGGCTGTTAGAATTCCATGGACTGTATAGTCCATGGGATTGCAAAGAGTCAGACATGACTGAACAACTTTCACTTTCACTTTCAAGAAACAGAACCCAGAAAAAGAGGGGAATCATCACTTGGACTTCATTGATCCAGAGGGAGAAATAAGAATAAAATGATTAGAAAGGAGGAGTTCAATTTAAAAAATTGCAGACATTATGTATCTCCCATTTTGATGCAATGGGGGCTAAACAGCATCACCTGGGAAAGAGTTTTCTAAGAGAACCTTGAACATGAATCTAATTAAGTTTCTAGTGCTATCTACTCATTTACAGGAAATTCAGTGGGGAGAGGAGCAGGCACACAGGTATCCATTTTGTCAAATCCAGTAAGGGGTGGATTTTACAGAACCAATTTCTGGTTTCTTCAACAAATAAATGACAAAGGATACAAAGAAGGAGGGGGAATTGTCATGTATTTAAAAGAGCATTAAGAGGCATTCCAGTATGTGCAATGTGGGGATGTTAGATCCTGATTTGAACACACCAATTGTACAAACACATTATGGGGAAAATAAAAACAAAAATAAACAAATGGAGCCTAATTAAACTTAAAAGCTTTTGCACAGCTAAGGAAATCATAAAAAAAAAAAAAGACAACACACAAAATGGAAGAAAATAGTTGCAAAGGAAGTGACCAACAAAGGGT